ATTTAAGTCATCTATATGAAAGCGTCTAGACTTCAGAATGGGCTCATTTATAGAGGCTCTTGATAAACCACTTCCTTTTCTACTCCCAATATTGCTGAAACAAACTTCAGCCTGTTGTGCAGAGTAGTCAAAAAGTACTAAGGCTGAATGCCCAATCATGTGTTGTGGAAGATTTCTCTGATGATTAATCTTACTTTCATGAGCTTACCATTCATTTATATGCCGTCTTTTCTGAAGTATCTGTCAATTCCAAACTTTTGCCTATATTTTTAAACTTGGGAGAGAGACAGAGACAGAGATTTAGAAAGTTCAGGGACTGGGGGGTGCAGCTTAGTGGCAGAACATTTGCCTAACCTATGTGAGGTCCTGGCTTCAATCCCTCACACCACCATAAATAAATAAATAAATAAATAAATAAATAAGAAAAGAAAGTCCAGATTTCCCTTCTAGTGTGTTGAATTGCTTATTAATTTAATAAGTGACTATTAATGTCAGTAATTTTTTTTAATTTTTGAGGTTTGTTTTATTACTTTTATGATTATAGCTGTTTTCATGATGTTAAAGAAATCGTTAATCATCCCAATTTTGTAAGCAAACATATTCTTCGGTTTTCTTCTAGGAACTTTGTATTTCTGGCTATTACATTTGGGTGTATGATCCAACTCAAATCAATTTTTTGCATAGGCATTGAAGTAGTSGTTCGAGTTCATTATTTTCCAAATAAATATTCAGTGTTCTGGCATCCTTTTAAAAACTTCCCTTTGTCACATAATACCATGGCTGTGTTTATCAAAAATAAATTTATCGGGCTGGGGATGTGGCTCAAGTGGTATCGCACTAGCCTGGCATGCATGTGGCCCGGGTTCCATCCTCAGCACCACATACCAACAAAGATGTTGTGTCCGCTGAAAGCTAAAAAATAAATGTTAAAAATTTCTCTCTCTCTCTCTCAAAATAAATAAATAAATAAATAAACTTATCACTTGGTGAGTCTGAGTCTGCACATTTTATTTGGTTCCACCTTTTTATATATTCATCTTTGCATCAATTCCATGTTCTCTTGGTTACTGTAGCTTTTTAATTAGCCTTGAATTCTGGCAGGAGAAGGTCTCTAATTTTTTTCTTCTTCTTTTCTTTCTGTTAATCTATATCAGATAAAAGCAGTCTTATAGTTGTAAAAGAAAATATTTAAAACTAAGTATTACATTTCCTGAAATAAAGTGAATATATAAGAAAAATTAGTCTAGAATAATCAACTCTGATATCTAATGTGGTAAAACTATAACATTTTAGGGCTGGAGTTGTGGCTCAGTAGTAGAGTGCTTGCCTAGCACGTGGGAGGCACTGAATTTGATTCTCAGCACCACATTAAAATTAATTAATTAATTAATTAATTAAAGGTATTGTGTCCATCTACAACTAAAACTATATATACATTAAAAATATTTTTAAAAAAATAATATTTAAACTATATAAAGAAGAAATTCTATGAATATCTAGATAGTTCATAAAATCTTTTTTCTCTTCTGTAGCTCTTGGGTTTGTAAGGAACTATTGGCTTTTTAAAGAACTATTTTACTACTAGCCTGAAAATATATCTTTGGAGACCTCTGCTAGTTGTGAAATATATCACTGGGTGAGTCCTGGGCTTTGTCTCCCACACATCTCTACCACCACCACATACACTTCTGGCCTTGAAGAAAAGAATGCAAATCTTTAGAGAAATAAACTACTAAACAGCTATTTCTATTCATTTCTCTGAATTCCCAATTTTATTTGATTTTTAGACTCTAAATATTCTATGTAATTTGGGCAGTTCAGTTAATTTTGATAACTTATCAAGATTTTTATTTCCAAAGATGCTTCTCCAATATATGTATTTGTTTATAATAAAAGGTTCAGTAACTGTGACATGCCACTGGGTGGAAACGGCATACAGTTTTCTGGTTTTCACATTGTCACAGTGTTCTCTTTCTCTCTGCCTTGCAAATCRCTACGTTAGTTTCAGTCTTAGGCTTGTAGTTTAATGTAGCTTCATAGACCTAACATTGTACTTAATATAATATATTTAATATTCAATACCCAGCCTTTTAGCCTAGTTGCATAGTCTTCCCATTGTTAGCCAAAATTTCTTCCCTGGTAATTTCTTAAAAAGACTTCTTTGAAACAGCATTCCTAAATTTTTGTTGCATATATAAAACTATTTTAGACATTTTTATTTAAACAACAATTTTTCTGGATATAAAAACTGAAGATTACACTTACTTGTCTAGAGAAGTGTGTAGCTTTTGTTTCACCCCCACTTTCATTTACTTAATGATATTAATTAGCTTATGGATAAAAGCATGATAGGCTAACTGGCCTGATTCCAGCGGAGCTGGGTGAGTGAAACTTTGTAAACCTTGTCAAGGGAAAACCCCAAATCTCTGAAAGGGAAATACAAAGACTGCCAATGATATTTGTGCTTTTCTTTATATGATCATATATTTTTAACTTTTAATGAATATGCATTAGTTTGGTAATTTTAAACAAAATGGAACTATAGTTTATTYGGATACTAAAGCTTTTATGTTGAACGTAATAGTAAAATCTATCTCCTTAAAATTAAGATTTGGAAAAAAAACATGASATGAATGGAACTTAGGTTCCAAAATTCACACAAGTCAGTATAATTGAAAGGAAAATAACAATCTTGAGCTAAAGATTATTAGTTGACTCGGTCTAGATATTGATAATTTGGAAATAGAAACTCAACAGCACTTTCTGAAGAAGGTGACTGAAAGACAAAAGAAGAAGAAGATTAAAAAACATTTAAAACTAATCTAGAGAAAATAGAAAAGAGTTATGTGGGAAAAAGATGTCAACTGACAAATTTGTCATTTCACTGCTAAGATTACTGGGTTATTTGGAGACAGCATTATATATAAGATTGTATGTAAGATTGTTTGATAACTATTCTRCTACAGTGTCCTACCTTATCCCTTCTAATTTTTTAAGTAGGACTCTCCCACTCTTGATACTACTGATATTTGGAGCCAAATACTTCTTTGAGTGGGAGGGTCTGTCCTGTGCCTTGTAAAATATTTAGTAGTACAAGGTTTCAATGGCTGTCCCTAATTGTGACCACCAAAAAAATGTTTCTAACTTGGCCAAATGACCCTGATGTGATAGCAAAAAGGCTCCTTTGCCAATCAWGTCTTCCACGTCTACTAGCTCATTGCTGAATAGTTTCCAAAAGTTTTCCCCATCTCTTGTCAAGACTAGTTTCTAATTTCAGATAATATTTCTAAGTAAGCAATTGTTCACCATACTACTGTCCTATCCTGTTTATTACTATAAACCTTTAACTTCAACAAGTATCTTCTAGCAGTAACATTATACTGATGTTTGAAAWGCATAGCAAGTCAGTAGTCTCTTTCTCAAGAATATTAAACCTAGTAAGATGAAGCATAAGTTTCAAGATGAATAGAAGTTCTGGCTGTTACAGATATAAAGAAATGACAATAACATATTGTGAAATTCTAGAAACATACATAACTCATCCTTTTATTGTATATATGTATATCTTTTGTATTTTTTATTTTGCATTTTTAATGTTCTATTGCATAGCATTAAAGAAGTTTACTTTTATTCATTTCCAGGTGATGAGAAGCCAAATCAAAATTCAGGAATTATAACTCCAATCTGTGCCTTTGGATTCCTAGAAAAGCCATCATGTAGCACTGAAGATAAAAGGTCATCATAAAGAAAACTCCCTAAGCAAACAAGCTTTATGTACCAGCATTCCATTTTGTGTACCTATGTCACACTGCATCTGATTACCTCCTCAATTAAGAAGATGATCTCTGTAGATAAACAGTAATTCTGGGATATCATTCATATTTATTTATTTGTGATGTTGGCAGGAATATATTTCCTCAAAGCCTAGTCATATTACATCATCATATAGTTCACTTCATACAAAGTGCTCCTGTCATTTTATAAAAAGACTCTAGCTTTGAATTTGAAACTTCAGTTTAAGGAATTAAACATATTCTATGAACTCAAATGCTCTAATCTATCTTTTATCTTMTGAAGCATGGTCAGTAACTGAGTTCTTAGTGTCAGGGAATAAGAAATCAATCCCCAGTAAATAATTCACTAGTAGAGCACGAGACTCAATACATCAGGTTCCATGTGCAATAAAAAAAAATGGCTTATAGAGCTGACAAATGAACACGGGAGACAGAATTAGCAAATACAGAAAACAAACAGAAGTGTCAAAGAATATTACTTTTTTATTTTAAATCACACAGTTAGATGTCTATTGAGCTCAATTAACAAAGAACCTGTTTTCACTCTAAAGGTTGTTAAGTAGAGACTTGCTATAAAAACTGACAGTTGACTGGAGGCTCCGGGTGAAAGGAGAGGAGAGTTATAGAATAACCAAATGGTATTCTGTTCTGAATGCATAAAATTTTTTCCATAATGTGGTAAAATCTTGAGTTTGTCACAAACATTTAATGGATACCACCTGAAAGTTGAGACAGTTTGTATAAATGAATCCTCAGTTTCTGTGAACTCTGGGAAGAGCAAGAGATAACGGACAAAGTAGAAAATCTGCTTTCCATACCCAGGAGGATGGTTTACGAAATACTSCTACTGGGCCAAGATTAAAATATGACAATTTTAATTTGGTAACATGAAGTTAGTCATATTCATGTGCTGGTCACTTCTTCATATTCATGATTGATGTGCCTCCAAGGTCTTATTTATTTCATTATTTCTCAACCCACATTTTCCTCACAGCCTGAGTCTCTCTAGGGTAGTTGATCAATGAACAATTAATGAAAACATTTTTGACAGACCATTATTGTATCTCAAATTCTAATAATGATCTGCCAGATACTTCAGGGTGCATGTAAGTAAACTTGTTTCCATTTTAATGCCTTTTTTTTCCCATCGTCATAAAGAAAAACAGAAGAAAATAATAATGAGAGAAACTCAGGTAAAATGAGGAAGTAAAGCAGCATTATTACCACTGCAAATGCCTCCTACTTTAACTCAATGATCATCAGAAGGATTGGAAAATATGTCATTTATATTTCACTTCTCTTTACATAAAATATATCTGTTGACCAACTTCCTCATGGCTGTCTTTACTTCTTTGTTTCGCAATGTGTATATGATGGGATTAAGTAAAGGGAATATTACAGTATGGAACACAGACACTACTTTATCTAGGGAAAACGAGTCAAAGGGACGAGCGTAAATGTAGATGCTTGGTCCAAACATTAGCACCACGATGGTGATGTGGGAATAGCAGGTGGACACGGCCCTGTTGGTACTCTCACCTGAGCCTGAGTGCTTCTTGAGCATAACTAGAAGGAAGGCATAGGACATTAACAGAGCAATGAAACACACCACGGAGATCAGACCGCTGCTGAAGATCATCACCAACTCTTCTGGGAAGGTGTTGGCACAGGCAATCCGGACAACCTGTGTGATGTCACAGAAGTAGCTGTCCAACTCATTGGGCCCACAGAAGGGAAGTCGAACAAGGAGAGCCACCTGTATTATAGAATGGACGAAGCCCCCCATCCAGGAGACAGCCACCAGAATACAGCAGAGAYGTCTATTCATGATGGTAGCGTAGTGGAGGGGACGACAGATAGCYGCATAGCGGTCAAAGGCCATCACTGTGAGCAGGAACATCTCTGAGGCTCCAACAAAGTGCAAGAAGAAGAGCTGAGTAATGCACCCACCAAAGGAAATTGTCTTTCTTTCCACAAAGAAGTCCACAAGCATTTTAGGGGCTGTGACAGAGGAATACCAAATATCAAGGAAGGCCAAGTTAGCCAACAAGAAATACATAGGAGAAGTCAGATGGGGATCAAGTTTGATGGTGCAAATGATAAGAATATTCCCTGGAAGGATGAATAAATAGAAGGATAGAAATATAAAAAAGAGGATTAGTTGTACCTCCCGAGTCTGGGATAGGCCAGTGAGAACAAATTCTGTCACCCTGGTGTAATTTGCAGTTTCCATTTCTTCAATTAGGTTTTTTYCCCCATAATATGGCTATGAAAAATAAAGAAATGATAATTACTCCAAATATCATTTAACTAGAATTATATCACTGTTTTCAAAGATTTTCCTCTATTCGCTGTTGTTGAGATTGCATTAGGATACGAATAGATTTGCTTACCCTGTCTTGTATTTGAAAAACCAAGATAGGGAGAAGTAAATGACAACCTTATACATTAGAAACATTGAACCATATGTAATGTATCAAATGTCTGAAAGCCAATCAGCTCTTCCATTCTATAAAATCCATTTTTTTTGAAAGTCAGAAGTAATCCTTCCTCCAAATATTTACATTGATAGGCAATATGTGCAATTTTTCTGAGTTTAGCCAAATTTCAGACTGGTAATTAGAAATGCAGCCTATTCTTTCTAGATCCTTTTTGTTGGGAAAACTTGCCAATTTGAAAACTTAACCTTGTGTTATAACATCACCTACACTGATCTATCCATATTTAATAACAGTGACCCCAGGGTTTCATGTGTATTGAATAACAAAAGCTGTCAGTTTAATTCTTGCCAATAGGTAAACAGCCACCACTGACAGTAATCCAGGTTGTCTGTATGAAAATCTTTCTGACTGTGACCAGATCTTCAGTACCCACTAATACACTGATCTTGAAGTTTATCCACTGTCTTAGAAAGGCAGGAGGAAGGTATAGTCATCTGAAAAATAACTATGCTCATCAACAAAGCATATTTTTTTATTGGTTATTCAAAACATTACAAAGATTGCAGAATCACATTGGTTATACATCCACATTTTTACATAATGCCATAATAATAACTGTTGTAATCTGCTACCATTCCTATCCTCTACTATAATGATCCACTTTGCCATTTTAAGGAAAAAGTGGGGMAAAGATTACATTTAGATTTCTGCGTAAGGTCCAATATTGAATTTGACTCTTTATGTAGAAGAAACCCCATCAAATAAAAATGAGATAATCATTCTCTATCCAAATACATTTTCCCTTTTAAATAATGTTCAAAACTGCCACTCCAAAGCAGATATTTCTTGCAACCAACAGTCATTGCTAGAACATTGCTTCTGTTTTCCTGATGTGATGACTTATAATACTGTCTCAGTGTTTCTTAAAACAAAAACAAAAACAAAAAACAAACAGAAAATATGAAAAAGATAAGGTTTTATAAAAACAAATATATATATATATATAACAAGTATTTACAGACACTATGCATACTATCAACTAAAAAAGCCCAGTGTTTCTCCCTTGGAACCTACTGATTCAATTTGCACATAATTTTAATGAACATAAATATATCACTTTCAATATGCTGTATAAGAACTGTGTTATGATGATGAGAGACTTAATAAAAGTAGACACACCAAGAAAACACCAGTATTTTCCAGGAATCTGATAGCAAGAAATGAGAGACGAAAATGAAAGCACTCTGAAAGCCCAGYATTGTGAGACTATTTAGCAAAGAACCAAGTGTTCCCATGCTAGTGAATTGCCCAGTATGGACCTCAGAGAGACAATCATGTTGAATGAGATAAGGACATTTAAAATTCAGTTTAGAAGGATTTTGATAAAAAGAAAAATAATGCCTCCGGTTTTCAACCCTTCACCTTCTTAAAAACTTGGCTGTCTGCAATGACATAGTTTCTAGATTCCAGAAAACATTACTTTAACTTTATTATCTGGAGAAAGCTTTCCATAGCCTTTGTAAGTAACAACAGGGCAAAGATATGGTTGCAAATTCACGAGATACTCATTTACATACATTGATGAGTAAATTAAGAGTTTCATACCATTAAGAAAATATTCACATGGAGCATTTGGCACATTATGATTATTTGGTTCATTTGGATATTTTGATATTATGCAAACAGATGAAGTGATTAGGTTATTTGCTCATTTTTGTTTTGTTTTGTTTTCATTTTTGTTTCTTGTGGTGCTGAGGATTAAACCCCGGGTGCTCCACATTCTAGGCAAGTGCTGTACCACTGAGCTATACCCCAAACTTTTAAATTTTATTTTGGGACAAGATCTGGCTAAGTGACCTAGGCTGACCTCAAATTTGCCATTCTCATGCCTCAGCCTCCTGAGTAGCTGTGCTCACAAGGGTGCACCACCACAACTGGTTAGGTTTTTTTTTTGCTTAATTAAATAACAAATTTCTTATTATTAAAAGGAGAAGAATATTTTGAAGCAGTAAATGCTATTACAAGACCCTAAGCATTTTTTTTTTCATTTTCACAGGGACAGCAATAGCATTCCAATCTTTGTTAGAAAGTCACCTTTTTCTCCTCTGTCCTATTCTGTACAATCCCATCAAAAAAAAAAGAAGTGGAAACTGTCACTAACCTACACAGAAATAATTTAGGTGAATGAGTGTTGATATCTTGGAAAGACAGATGCACCTCAGGTATATTGAACAGAAAGGATCATTTTACCTTAAAAGGTATCAAAGAGATTTCCTTTTCACATTTCAATGCTCAGGATACAARTGTCAAATTAGAAAGTAAAGATACATACTTTGCATTAACAACCAAAACTAACCTGATTTATTCCTTAGTGAGAAAATATAAAGCATTCATATCTCCCTCTCTCCTCATAATTATCAAGTTGAAAAGAAACATTTAACTGCAGCATCTCAATCCAACAGTCAGGCAGCCAATGAAGCCCTCTATTCCCCAAGCTAACAATGGTCAGTCACTACACATAACAGACACATGCACACACACACACACACACACACACAATTATAACATACCACTTCAGTAAATATGAACATGAATTTATAAAACATTCAAAAATTGTGACCCTGGCCATCATCTATCATTTAACACATGTCAAAACAAATCTTTACATGTGATATCAAAAGCTCTATCCCAGAATATAGAGTTCTGTGTCACTGTAAATTATAAATTTGTTTGTTCAGCAAATGTTTATTGAGGAACTACTGTGTGCTAACTGCTAACAATACATCAATGAGCAAGTAAGATGCAGCTTCTACCTCATTGAACTTCTGTTCTAGAAACAGGGACAATAGATCAGTAAACAAATGAGTGTATAAGTACAGTAAATCATTACMGCTAGTGACAAGGGACAAGAATATAAGATAAGGGAATTACAATGGAGAGTAAATGGTTGTGGTCTATGGTGGTATATAGTAGTGTAGAGATGGAGTGTTTTGAAAAGCTTCTCTGATTTGACAACATTTCAACCAACTCTGAAGGTCAAGAGAAACACATTTTAGAAATGGAGAACAGTAAGTGTAAAGGACCTGCAGGAGGGGAAGGTTTCTGAGAACTGTAAAAGACTTGAAGCTGATAGAGGTACAAGAGCAGACTAGAGAGCCAAATTTTGAGTAATGGAACTCACGATAAGAAAATCTGATTTTAACAGCTTCCAGTAAGGTATAGAATAAAGTCCAGGACGTTTATGAATAAGATTTTATAATTTAGGAATATCACCCTGGCTGCTATATGATTAAAATTATAGTGAGATATGTTTGCAGAAAACATGAAGCTCAACTAAAGAGATAGCAACAGTTATTTACAAAAATGAATAGTTTGTTTAGAAAAATACAACTGATAGGATTTAGTAGTGACTCTGCATATTTCTATTTTCAACCTACCAAAGTCAGCTGAAATTTGAACGCAAATCCCTATTTTAGGGGAAGGCCTTTCTTTTCCTCTGTGTCTAAAATGAGGCAGCTCAGGTACTATGAACAATGATTGGATTTACTACACATATTTAGGTATGCTCTGTCACATTCTAAGAAAGACTGGGAATTGTGCCAATAAAATCCAGAGTGAGAAATTGCATTTGTGGGGAATTCTTGGGGGATATGAGCCATCCATGGAGACTGAGTTAGGGCGTTTCTTTCTGAAGCTGCCATTCAGGAAGGATATCTATTCCAAACCATTGCTTACTTTAAAGCACCTGAGTAGGTTGGTTAAGGAAATTTCACTTCATCCTGCCATCCATCCTGTACGCCTCCCCAGTTTCTGGATATAAGCTGCTGTCCTTCAAATACCACCCAGTGAATTCCCGTTCTTCACTTAGTCTACAGGGACGTAGTATCTAGAGGATGACAGTAACACCTAGGAGTACAGGTTCCTCCCTGTAGTGAGTGAACTGTGAACTCTACTCAAGGGAACCAGTGGTTTGGGGAAAACTAGGAATCTGTGCAGAAATTCTTCCTTACTTACCATACAAYATTCATCCATGAATCTAGCCAGCCTCTGAGCAACCACACAGAGAATTCTTATCCCATTAATTTGAGGAATCTAAGAAGGCTATCACATAGATCCCAAAATAGTGAAAAATTAATTGAATCAGGAAATACTGGCTTACTGAGATACAAGAGAGATTTTTTTTTGAATCATTGTCCATTCATTTTCCTCAGATGGATATGTGAGTGACTCAGTCAGTATCTCCCAGAGTCAGTCAGTCACCCTGACCACTCTAGGTAACTGCAGAGCTCACAGCCAGAAGGAATGCTTTCAGTATCTACTTCAACAACATAGGAAGAAGGATTAAGCTGAAACTGAGAGACAGGGAAAACAGAGTCAGAGAGGGGGGTAATATTAATGAAGGAAACAAGCTATAAAAGGAAAAGATAGCAGTACTATTTTTTCCTAAGGATGGCCACATTACATTGTTATGGGTTACACAGCTACCAACAGGTAGATTTTTTAAAATATTATATAATAGAGAAAAATCCCTAAATAGATTCCTTCAAGTGATATTTTATTGAAAAACCTTCCCCAGAGAAGGAAGACACATTAACCTCTGTAGTATAGGAGCTGTCTATCAAAGTAAAGGAAAAACTGAGGGATGGGTGGTGAAATTGGGGTGGGAGTGCAGGGGAGAATGTAAATGAGTGCAGCAGGAAGGTACTAGATTTTTAGAAAATATATAGATATGAGAAATTATTTCCAGACACTGTCCTACACCATTTTTGAGGATAACCTGGTACTGAGGTATTTCTCTTATAACAGATACAGAGCATTAGTGCCTTGTTCTAACACAGCTAAACTACTTACTAGAGCATAAAGTTAAAAAAAWATATCTTTGAAATAG